CATTACCTCATTGAGCCTCCCAGGTGCGAAGATGCTAGAATGGAGTTGACGCGGAATAACTGACTCAAGAAGAGCAGCATGTCTTGCGGTCTGGCCGAAGCGCTTCTGACGTATTTTCCCTGTGCCAGACTGTTGAGAAATTGTAAAAGTTCGCCAATCCGGTATGTAGAGAAAGACTATCACCGGATCGCATGCAAGAATCTGCCATGCCTTCGAGCATACGGAGTAGATGGCCAACTCCTGAGGGCCATCCAATCACTGTATTCTGATATCAGGTGCTGCGTCAGAGGAAATGGCGTTAAATCGAAGCCGTTCAGCGTTGATGCATGTCTCGTCGAAGACTGCGTTCTGTCTGATATCTTATTTGTGTTGTACATGGAAAGAATAGTGTTGCGCTGGTAGGGGATCAGTGTAGGAGCGGTCGAGAAGAAGGTTGCTGTTTGTAGACGCGACCTCGTTTTGGACATCCTTTGAAACAAGTCTGCAGCGCTCTTTGGAACGGTTCGCAGCTGATTGTGATGAGGTCGGATGCGTGTGAACGTTTCTGAAACGAAAAGCATAGTGCTTCATAGATTTCCTGTTAGTTGGTCAGATAAAAGGAGAAGCAGGGCAGCAGATGAAGAGGTTTCCGTACCTCGTGGTCCCATTTACTGATAAAGAAACATGAGAGGAAAGGATCATCCTGTTGATTCGAATAGTCCGTGACATTCTGGATGAACTCACCCGACCATGTGACTAAAGCAGGGCTCAGTCTGAAAACTAAGCTCTCGGTGTTCAAGTCGTACTTTCTCCCCATGCTTGCCTACGGTCATGAATCGTGGACCATCACTGAAAAAGTTCGAACCCGGTTACAAGCTGCTGAAATGGGCTTTCTTAGACGAGTCACTGGCCTTACGCGTCTCGACATGTTCCGGAACAGTGAAATCAGGAAGAGCCTTGGATTACAGCCTTTGCTTCTCCAGATTGAGAAGTCACAGCTGCAATGATTTGGGCATGTGTTGCGAATACCGTCAGAAAGGAAGGCGAAGCAAATATTTCTTGCCCAGCCGAACGGCAGAAGGCTCCGGGAACGGCCATGATTAACCTGGTGCAAATATATGAAAGGAGTCTGCTCCAAATTCTGGCACACTGTCAGAAACGTCTGTGACTCTTTGACTCGACTACCTCTGCGACCCGAAAGCAGAAGCGGTTATAGAAGTTGAAGACGATGAAAAGTTGTCGAGTTTCTCCGTCTACCGTCCATGCAAAAAATGACTTCTTTTGGCTAGAGCCGCGGATGATTCAATGGTACCATTTTTGATAAACGACATCAAGAAATCGAGAAAATAAAAGATAATACATCCCGCGTGATTTCGATCGTAAGAAGCCTGGATATTCTGTCAATCAATGATAACTGGGCATATACATAATCTCATTGCGACTTCAACTGAACCACAGGGGGAGCATGCAGTAAACTAATAGAGCGCTTTACCGATTGAGTGCTTGAACTCTTACACGGATGATCTGTGTTAACTTCTTGGATCAATCGTCCTTTATTCTTAGAAGTTAAAAGACCGCTTGTTATTCGGTGGGAAAGAGTCATGTTTTTCCTAATGTTACTAAGGTGTACACGTTTCAGCAAGGAAACCACGCCATTGGCTGCTGAGAAAAGAGCAGTTCAGATTTTTGGCATGAAACAAGGGTACCGCTAGTGTCGTCCATGCTTAAAGTGTAAGGAAAGCTGCCGTCCCAGTGATCACAGACTTTTCATTTTTATTTCCTATCAAACGGCTCTTGTCTGTTCGCCACTAAGATGTTAAGTTCGATATTTTGGGAAAGGCAATATGAAAACTGAGTGTAAGTGTGCAAATGATTCTTTATGTAAACTTTCTATTCTCTATGCATGAAACCGCTCATCCAAGTAAAAGTACCTCACTAAGCTCTTTGGCGAGTTCTCTACCGAGCTTGGCTTCTGTTGTCGATATTAAGAGTTGAGTTTGCCCTCTCACGGTCAGAAGTTGTTTGCAAAACTGCGACTGCTGACCTCTAATTAGACCTCTATTGATTCGTCCTATCAGTCCATAAACCAATCACCGTATGCTGACCTCGCTTGAACCCTCAAGGATGGAAGTTAATTTGTGGTCTGTCATAAGTAAATAAGCATGTGAAGAATCTCGATGTCTCATGCAGGAGCTTGACAACTGGTATAGTCCTCCGCTTTGTTCAGTGAATTGCAGCTTTACCTTATTAAGGACCAATTTGGTCCGTAAGAGTTTGCAGAGGGTGGCAGAGGAGGATGAAACTCGACAGACTGAGCGTTGGAAAAGCTATGATACCTTCTTAGGAGTCACCGCAACCCCGACCTGGTTTCGAACGGCCGGGCGGGCGGTAGACAAGACCGAGTGATGCAAAATGCCGGTAAACGCGCGCTCGTTCAATCATTGGATTTAAAATGTAATCGAAAACCGGATACGCAGCGTCTCCTCGTTCAGGGCATATTCAATGGCGTTCGGTGATGAATGGAAACTGGAATAATACGAGGTAATTGGCTCATTTCCGGCCGTAATGAAAACACACCGGCCCATTACGACGCTCGTTACGAACACCGCCGTTGTGACGATGCGACCGCTGACACCTGAAACAAGCAGCATCGTAATTAGCGACCGACCGGATGATGGAATTAGAGTGACCTCCGCAGTCAGGTGGCCCTTGTGTGACCGCAGAGAGGGAATTTTGGCCCAACCGACCTGCCGTTGTCGCCCCCATTTGACCGGTACCGCCTGATCACTACCGTCACACAACAGTACCCTGACGACCGTCACCAATCGAGTGGAAAAGCTACATTTACTGGATGAGCGGTAAGAACGGTTTTCATAACAGTACTTACAACATGCTGTCTCACTTGCTGTACTTGTCAGTAGCTGGTGATCGGTCAGGTGAAGGTTGATCGGCTTCATAAGATTGGTCATAGTCTTCGTCAGCATCGGTATTATTGCCTTACCCATTAGTGGCTAACCCTCCTTGCTGCACGACCTGCGTACTTTTGTAAGCGAACTTTCTTGTCATTGGTCAAACATTGGCTGATTACCGTACTCGATGCGCCTAACATCGCGCCTACTGTGACAGTGCTTTCTTACGTAAGCTCTTGTGATCGTAGCTGTCTGTTTCATTTCTCGTCGGTTCTTTATGAGCATTGTCACGACTGCGACACACTCGAAAACCAAGCGGGGACATACTTTGAAGTTTTATCAAATTTACGAACGTTAGTTGTTCATATGTTTTAGCCAACTATGAAAAATGAAAAAATGAACCTTAATGCATAGTTTCATTTCTCTAAATTTACGTCGCACAGATGCATCATTAGTTTGCTTCTGTAACGTTTTAAGCAGGTTATGTTCAACGTCATAAAACCTGCAGTGAAAAGCAGGTCACATCACCGAAGGACCTTATGTTCTCGAGTTAACATGCACTCAGTAATACTTATGATACCTACATTCAGTATCTACGAACAAAAGTTAGTTTTTCATAAGCTGGTTAGATGGCATATGCAGAGTTCGGCCCAAAATAACAGGTGCCATGATATCCATGTTTTACTTCAAGGCTACCTTGTGAATTCGTCTTGTAAATATGAAAAAGTGGCTGAATTTTGTTATGGTGGATGACAGCATAGTTATCTAACGCTTGACAGTAATCCCAAAATCTCCTGAGTATTGTTCTGTCACCTCTCCAGATTTGCATGGTGAATAACACCGTCTCTTTGCTTCAAGTAGCCAGTGGGGTACCGTTCAAGCAGGCCACGGTGCCATAGGTTTTTGGCACCCATAGTGCCTGGGCGCAAACTAGCTTCACTTCAATGTTGGTGAATATGTTTATGAACTGATGCATATTCGTTGGAGTTCGAATATTTCTTCGTTTGATCCAATTGATAGCATTGCTTTGTCCTAATGCACTGCAGGTGCTGATGAATCCACGGCCTGCTTAAACACTAACCCAGGCTACTACAAACAAGGAGCAGGGCACTACACCGTGTAAATCTGAAGAAATGACAGGAGAACGACATTCTTACCGGCGGTATTGAAAATTAGCACTTTGCTAGCAAACCCGTAATACCGGGAATTATTTTTGTATCTTGCATACTAATGTTCAATTTGAAGATTGAATATCCACCATGTACAAGAGGAATTCATCCTATGGAACTGAAGATTAGTCTTTTCTAGACGAGACTGCTGCGGAATTTGCACTGCATCAAGGTCTTTATCTACCTGAACATCAAAAAACTCGAAAAAAATCAAGAGTTATATATACCTCAGCTGTCAGGTAATCGGACGAACTAGCTAAACAAGGAAATCATCATAATTAGGTAGGCGGCATTAAAATATCGTTAATTGACTAGGTATTGCCAATTCAGGTGAACAAAACCCTTTGATTCTATCATTCTGAAATTCATAATCTATGGCACTCAACGATTAGACACCATCATGCCAAAGAAAAACAAACAGCTATTAAGGCCATGAGCGATTAAATGAAGAATCCATGGTCTTCTGGATCACGTGCTGATGGCAGGTTTGATTGTTTCTGTCTATAACGCCAAAAAGAGATGCGCTATAGAGTTGGCTCGTATAAGGCATAACTAGTGAAAGTCTTAAATTATGGATTGGATTCCGTTGGCTCTAATCATCGTCTCAGTAGTTCCAAACTTTACTGGGACTATCTGATAGTAAAACAGCTGGCCATCAGGGGATGGCGGAGTGTAGAACATTATACACGGAACAGAGATGATTGGAAGAGCTTAGACTTGCGTTAGTGACTTATCCACGATGAGGACCAGACTAATAAACGAAGAATGGTTATCAATGAATTTGGATAAGTTAGTGATAGTAATGATTTAGCGAGCTTGGAAATCTTAAAAACCGATAAACTAGGTATACAGATATTATATCGAGTTTAGTCTATAATCGAATTCTTCTTAATCCTTTAAATGGAGAATGATGCCGGGTGCCATATAAGTAGTTACTCTTGATCGAACGTCACGTCAACTCTGAGGAGATCTTCCCATTTCGTAGGAGGTCTTCACGACTGCTGCCTGCGGTCAGGTTTATGCGTTCAGTGTTCTTTTCACAAGGAAGCTACCGTCCATTCTTTAAAAGTGGTCGCACAATCTTAGACACTCTGTTTTCGGCCAGTTGGTCAGTTTAGTTGTATATTATAATCACGGTCATGAGAGCACTTCATACTAGGTTGTACCGTTTCACTCAAAATACTCATTTCATTGCTTCTAGTGTTCTGTTTTCAGCATTTTTATGCGCTGTCATATAAAAGCTATCGTGGGGAGGGGTTCAAGTGCAAGCCCTGTATATTCATGGGAAGGAGATAGTGAAAAATTTTTTTTCTTACCACACCCTTGAGTATGTTGTTATTCACTGCTAATGTCACGTAGGCCCTTGTTAGCTTAGTCTGCCGCTAGCCGTCTGCAAGCAGTGTACTCCCAAAGTGTTCTGGTGCCGTTTCCATAACTTGGGTATCAATGGTTATACTCTCAGTGATCCAGAATCTTCCAGTTTACCCCCACTTCGTGATCTACGAGCAAATCGAGAGACCAGATCAGAACACCTCTCTATCAGAGTTAAGAACAGTGCTGTTGCAGGTTCGAAGTTGTCTACGAGCAATGCGATATCATTCGCAAATGCAAGGCAATTTACGCAGATGCCGGTCACTTTTATCTCTGAGGCTTTACTCCTTTGCATTGGCTGAAACATTCGGTCAAAGCACATCACAACGAAGAATCGAGATTCCAGTCCTATTTTTCCGTACACTTAACCTTGTACTATAGAATTTACTGAACCTGCCGTTCGTACTGTGCTGGAAGAAAAGCCATGTGGTTTTTCAACGGTTCATTACACGGTAAAATCACAAAGAGTTTGGATTCCGAGTTTGTTTTATTTTTCGTTACCTTTCTCATTGCGAACATCTGGCCCAGACATCGTCTGCCTGGCTGGAATACAGATTATTCTTTACGTAAGATTTTCTCAACAGGTTGTCTCTTCCTGTTCGCCACAAGACGCACCAACACCCTCTAAGAAGCAGACAACAGGCTGGCTCTAAGGTAGTCATTTGGATCTCACTGTTGAACACTGGTATCAGAATATGTTTTATCTTGTCAGTCTGTGACTCTTCCTGCCTAACCCATACCGGACTTGCTAATGCCGGCAGTCCGCTCATTCCAGCTCCCTTGACACATTCTTGTTGTACTTATATAATGCCTGCAGGCCTGCCATTTTAAGTTAGTTTCAGGTTTCAGTAACTTCTTCAAGATTTGCAGTCCACTATTAGCATCCACCGTTTTGTCCAATTATAATACAATGCGATGAATGTTGTTTCGCCATCACATCACCATTTGGCAGAGCTTTCAAACGTTTTCCTATATCTCAACGCTTCTGTATGATCAGAGGTGAGGTTATGGTCCTCTTTCATAACGGATGCTGTAAGAGTTTGTTTTTATCGATGCAACAATGTATATCCCAGAACAATGTGTTCATACCGTTTCCCGAGCTGCGAATTCTGTTTTTTGGGCTGTCTTTTCCAGAAAAGGGCTTTTCATTTTTTTTCGTGATTTCTGAAGTTCTCTCTGCTTTACTCTTTCAACTTTTATCTGTTATCATTTTTGGCCGGCCTGTTCTTTTGTTTCTGTTCCAAAACATATCCACGGTTTCCTTCCACTTGTCTTACATGCCACTTGCTCTTCTGCTGTTGTTACTGCTGGTTCTTTGTATAGGTTCCAAGTCTCTTTCACCGATATATTGCTAGCTTAATCAGTGAGTGGTTTGAGTCCTCCGTTGTCATGACCTGATATTCTTGGTATACTTCAGGATATTTAAACTTGGCGGTCGATTTTCGGATACTATTCAAGGATTGCAGTTCGACCTTGACATTAGTCACCGCCAGCTCGTCTTCGCTGCCCCTCAAGCATTTCTGTACTCCGGAACAACTTTCAGGCATGTTCAATGATCTGATATGCCGTTGACGCATCAGGAGAGAGCCATGTGATTTTAGACACTGATTTATGAGGAATCCATATGTCGTTGGCAAAGTAGATTATGCGTCTCACACAGCTTTGCTATTCGTTCACCATTCTCGCTCATGTCCCCGTTTGATCTCAGGCGTTTACACAGCATATTTATAGCCATCACTTTCGTACTGAGATTACAAAGAAAACAGTCAAGGTATGGTCGGCTCGGCACTATTGTAGCAGCAGGCCCAGAGCGGGATAAAATTCTCCTTTGCTGCCTCTGACGCAGCTTCGCCATGAACATAACGACCAACTACTGTAGGAATAACCTTTTCCAAACAGGTGTGCGTCCTGTACTACAGCTTCCTGTGCTTCCACACGATTCAGTTCTTCTGCAATCGATACCTAAGCCTGTTCAGATTTGTTTGACGATCGCAGGTGCCACGTGGCAAACTGCGTTTGACATTTTGCACTGAACGCCATCTTCCTCCTTCCTGAAGTTTTTTAAGACCCACACCAAGAGGGGGGATTTACGGGTCCATTATCAATAAAAAACGGCCCATGTGATAAATACTGTAGAAATACCGATTTCTGTAATCAGAGATAAAACCGTTGAATGGGTGATGATGGGCTTGAAGCAGCCTTCACCGGAGCCTTCCCAGCCGTCCGATTCAAGGTTCTTGTAGGCCTTGACGACATACGGCTGAGGAGAATACACTCCAACGTACTTCGCCATACCAAACATTCGCTTACGTTTAACTTCGTGCCGTCCCCACCACTCGAATAGGAGGTTTGACTTTGAGAAGCCAGTCTCTATTGTTGTAAGCAAATTTTTTCGCGTTGCTCGCCAGTCAGCTACATTTCCAGTAATAACAAAATTTCGACATAAACACACTGAACCATATTAATTGCTTGGATTCATAGCATAATTTATTTTTGTTGCAAGAAATTCGCCGAGAATTAATTAGTTGCTGAATACAGCTTTGGGAATACGAATTTGCTATGCTATCATTGCAACGCTTCACGTTCAAGTAAGGAAAACCCGGCAATGAGAACAAGCAAGTGGGTGCGCAGGTCAAGGTATAGTCAACGACAGATTTAACAGTTCTGACAAGTTTAACTTTTGACACTTGGAAGTTTTCATGATCCACTTAGCAATCCTTGCAAACTACACAAATGTCAACATTCACTACCAGTGGAAGCTTGATTATAAGCCATAAACGAAGATATGCTCACGGATTCATTCATTATTCAAGGCCTATGGTAAAAATCATGGCAACGAGGTGTCATTTGCATAATCAACACATTTTTTTCATGATCTGTCTCTGTGCAGTTTTCCGTTTGGCTGTCTTCTAAAACATGGAATTCTTGTTTTAATTCAATTCATTTGCATCACTTGGCTGCTGCCATATCAACTACAACGTCTCAGGAATGTGGTTGGCCAACGGCAGTGCACTGAAGAGGGTTTGGAAAATATTATGTCATTTTGCCTGTGTCACAGAGGAACTGGGCAAAAGCGAAAGAATCGTAAGGACAGGATTCTTCGACATCTCATCCGCCTTCTTCGCAATCCCGCGTGATGGCCTGATGCTGAAACTTCCTGCAACTTCCGTGAACTGCTAGATCCTCTGATCACCCTCTGTCCTTTGTTCATTAAGTGTGGTCATCAGAAATCAGAGGTCATGTCGAACAGCCTAGCTGTAGTATATGGTTCGTTTCTGTCAGCACTGTTTTTCAATATATTTGTAAATTATGTCCCTGCTGACGCGGCTCTGATACAGTCATGATTGGGTCCTTGCAGTCGACCAAAGACTGGAACGCTTACGAGAACACAATCTCCACTACTCACAGTTTTTTTTTGCTCAAATGGTCTCATTCTAAACCTGAAGAATACAAAGGAACTAATCTCCATGATGCCAGGCACAAAAAGAGGGCAGTTCTTCAGTTCTCCACTGAGGTTTTGGCTGTTCATTAGCAGTCAGCAATGTCCTGGGTAAAACATGTCAAATAGCTCA